AAATTCGAATTTTAAGATCAGAATGTTGGTGTCGTCTGAAGTTTTATGACATTGCATGACATTTAACGTCAATAAAAATCCATCAACTAAAAAGTTTCACCAATGGAATAAATGAACACAGATATTTATAATTTAGTCTACAAGAGTAAAACACTTGTAACTATGGCAACAGGCCAAAAATTTCACTAGAACAAATCACAATGCTTTCATACAATTCAAAATGAGTGAAAAATGTCTAGTGAAATAAGTAAAACATATCAAGAGTTCGAAAAAAAAAAGACTAGATGCAATGAGTATTAAACTCTCTCAAACTATTGAATATTAAAAAATAATCTCAATAGAATATAAAGTGAGTAGTGATCAAAACACAAGTCCTGAAAAATGATAGATGGTGCTCGATCTCCTAATTCTATTCTAGTCGCCAAAGACTCCACAATCTCCTTGGCTCTATGCTAATCGGTCCTAGGCTTGTTGCTTTTTCACATTCTGCACAAGAGTTCCCACTCTGTACTCGTTCGTTTTTTCTTATTCTTTTTCTCTATTTTTTCTACAAGGTATATTATTTTCTCCTGATCTCTTCCTTAAAAAACCTGATAAGAAGAGGAAATCATATAACAAATACGTTTCTACCATACATAAAACTAATAAATATCTTTTTCCCAGTTTTAGGTCTTTTCTCGAGAATTTCGGTCCACCTAGTCGTTGTTTCTATTGTGTAAGTACATTTCTCAATTTGGAACTTTCAGAAACCATGTTCAACCTATTTTGAGCCAACATCGAACAGAACCCGAGGAATGCGAGTCAAGACCAATGGACACTGCCCCCATCATTCAGACCTTGCACCTGCACGCCCCCATTGCCCACGCCTCGCGTCCGGCCCAAACCTCGCTCTCATCTCCCATGCCTCGCGCCCGCATGCTTAGACCTCGCCTTCGTCACCCAGGCCTCATACCCGCGACATCGTGCGGTCTCACGCACGAGCAGACATTGCGACTGAATGAAGCTATCAGTCATCGGGTCTCGCGCCCGCGACAGGCCAGCCTTTGCACCTTTGAGGGCCTTCGTACCCGTAATGGTGCGCGAGCTCGCAGCGCAACCGCGCAACCACCACCCCCCCTCCCCCCTCCCGTCAACCAAGGCCTGTCGTGCCTGTGAGAACGCCATTTCAAAAATGAACCTAGTCGGTTTTTCAACATCTTTTGGAACCCGTATTTATTTGGACTCGAGCCAACTCTAAATAATCATTCCAGACTTTTCAATCTTCAATTGTCTCTTTGTTTTTTGAATATTTTCTCTTGAATTTTGATCTTGAGAGTGACACTCCAAGAGGTGACTTGTGGATTTAGCGTGTAATTGGGATTTACCGTTCAGCTTCAAATTAATCGTAAGCTTTTCTTTTCATTTTGATTATGGATGTGTTAAGGATATAGGATGATTGTTCTGGCTGTTTGTGATTATCTTGTTTGTGAATTGTTCATTCTGTGCAAGTTGATTGATTCTTTGGGTCAGTCGATTGATCACCTCCTATTATAGTTAAATAACTTTTAGAATCGAGAGTGGAGGAGTTATTCGACTTAGACTCGTATAAGGTAGGTTTGCTTGTAACTGTGTTGCCTACGTGTTATTTGATTTTGTCAACTTGTCATTTATGTTTGTTCTCTTGTTACGAAGAGTTATTGAGGATAAATATATAAACCTTTAGGTTAGTCGAACCCTTTTAACCGAATAATTGTTTGCTCGGTATTTGCATTTGGAACAAGAATTCATTATCCCGACTTCCTAGCCTCTTGATCGATATTTGCATTTGGATAAATCTCAAAAAATTTCTTTTTTATTTCTTTTTGAATTTATGTATAAATTTTGGGGGATGGCTACGGTCCGTAACGGTATAATTTCGTTTCTTTAATTTAGATGGTTGGATATTCACAATTATTACTGACCTTTAGAAACAGAGAAGTTGTATATTAACTACACACATACACATGGTGTAATCTAATTAATTGAAATAATAAAGGATCATCCGGATAGTAGTATTTTCCTAAAACTTGTAACTAAAATCCATGTAATCTATTATTGCACAAGAGCATTTTGTGGGGTGTTGGGATAGAACACCCAACGCAGCGGACAAAAATAACCCTCCAACAAATATGGCAAACACTACTCCAAACGAAAATAAGCCAACACAAAGAAATAAAAGACAAGAAATAAAAAGGACACAAAAATTGATAACAGAGTTCGGCGAAAATAGCCCAACGCCAAATTTACTATACTCACCAACAAAATACAACTAGGGTTAAATAACCCACAAATTAAGATTTTCTTAAATAAAAATTTCCTACCAAGAGAGGAGAGAATAGAATAAGGTGCAATTAGTACAAAGAGAAGTGACATATTTATATTAATAATATCCTACACATCTTTGTTATACATTCGATGTGGGACAAACAATTAATCAAAAAAACTAACATGGGGATCACCTCATCCAATGAGCGGAACGATCACATGACAAAAAGACCCATAAACTGGGAATCAAATGGCGAAAACCAATCAGCTCCCTAAACGTAGACTCTCCTAACCAATAAAACGAGATTACATATACAAAAAACATATAAAATTCTAAATAAAATATTTGGGAGAAGACGACCGTATGGTTGTGGTGGTTCGACGCGTATTTGAAGCATGAGCATCGCCGAGTTATTAGGGCTATTTTGACCGATTACGCAGCCCGCAAGGTACCTAACCCTCTAATTTCATATTCACCAAAAACCCTTCTGTTTTTTCCCAAGGAATTTTACTCGTATGTGTGTGTGTGTATATGTATTTATGGATTTCTGCTCATCTTTTAAGTCCCTTTAGCTTTTGGGTGTAATCGAAGGACCTCTTTGGAGGATATATTATTGGCGTAAATGTATCGAAACATATGAAAGATTGAATCTTGATGATTTTTTGAACGCAATGCTTATGGACATATGAAAGGATGAATCTTGATTATATTGGAAATTTGATGTTTCTTAATGTTCAATGGCGTGAATGAAGTTATATGGTTATTATGGTTTATGGATATTGGCATTAACTCTTACACCCACCACATCTTAAGAAGTGGGAAAGTAGCTGTAAATTGCAATTCCCAACTTCAAATGGTGCTATTAAAAATTGGGCAACTTTATTTACCAGCTGCTGCTTAGAAAATGGGTATTTGTGGTACAATTAGTCAATGGGCCAGTTATCAAGATTTGCACAGTTGACAAGTTAGTGAGGGATTGTGTTATGTTAAATTGTTAATATTATCCTCCTTTTTTTAACCTTTTTCTAATCTTTCCACTTGGCTAAATGAATAACGCGGGTCGTTGAGGTAAACAGAGTTACGTATAGACGTGATTAGAAATTTGATAGGAAGTGAGAGAACCCATTCCAATTCAGAACTTCCATTCGAGCTTATTTATCTCCTCGTTTTGAAGGTATTGGTGCGTGTCATGTGTATGATGGCTTCACTTTTATTTATGCAGTGGCACACAGGTTATGGGATTGCATAAGATGAAATACTAAATGGAATAGAGATCGAGATTTTGATTTGATATATTTTTGAAGATTTTCTAAGGAAAAATTTTCATTTGTATAATATATATGACCGTAAGCTTGTGACACTCTAAATTACTCAGTCCAATCCACAACAAGTAATGTTTGTTCTTTCCAATTTTTACCTATATATCAATTCTAAAAATTATAAGTCTTTGTCAAGTAATGCTCATCTTATGTCTCTATTGAGTAGTAAAGTTAGTAGTAAAGTTCTGAATAAACCCAGTAAATATATAATTTTTTCGGTACTTTTTCAACCTTAAGTTGGCAAATTACAGGGTGTGGCAGATTTTGTTGTTACCATAACAATTATTTGCATAAACTCTGAATAATAGTAAATTGTATTAGTTTCTTCACGTGTGTTCCAATGTCTCAAGGTCAAAATGTATGTACTACATCAACCATTGCCCTTTTGGCTCCAGAATTTCCCAAGTGTCTATCCACTTTCTAGCCATTTTTGTGAGTAGATATTTGTTTATTACATCTGATTTAGTTACATATTTGCTATGCAAGCTTTACTCCCTGATGCTTTTGATTTTATTTGCATAATGTTTGTAGCTTACATGAAAAAGTGGAAACCCTTTTGTCAACTTATGAAGAAAAAAGGGAGATTGTTAAAATATGTTCCTTTTGTCAAAATTAAGCCAATCATTGCAGATGTCCAAGATTATAGGTATTCATGTGAACCTTGATGTTGAAAATTGTGTACTTTTTTTTACCAATGATTGATATTGAGAGAAAAATGCCTCACAGCCTGTTCAACAAGGAAAAAATGACTACATTCATTTGGTTAACTGTGTCTTAATTCATCTTTCCTGCACTTTTCTCTTCCATCTTCCTCAATTTTTTTTATAACGTTTGCACGATTGGGAACAGTAGCCAATTTGGGAGGATATTTTGTCTCCTGTGACAGTTCATGTTAGTTCTTTTTAAGAATATCAATACTCAAAACCCACAATCCCTCTTCCTATGGATGATGTCATAGTCATTAAATCAAATTGAATAAGTATTAATTAAAGAATATCAATATTTTTCGATAAGGACCCCCACGTTCTACAGACTGCCAGATGGCATTCCCTGTTCTTCCTTCCTCCCCAAAATATGACCACTATTTTTTTTTTCTGGTTGATATTAATACTAACTGATAGTAGTTAATGAGATTATACTTTTATTTAAAGAATCGGTCTTGTATGATGAACCCATATTATATTGATGTTTATTCCTGATTGGACTTAATCTGTTTTCACGGGTTTGAAAGGTTGCATAATTCTACCCATGATTGGCCAAATTCTGTATTAGGCCCCAGCTCCATTTTTTTTTTTTTTTTTTTTGNTGATATCCAGGCCACATTTGCACACAGTTTATTGGTTTTTAAGATTAGAAAAATCTTGTTGTGCATAGTTTTTCCAACCAATTGTTTTTATTAATTTATTCTGTAGCTAAGACTATAAATATTTCAGCATTTGCTAGTATCCAGCAACTCGAACTTCTAAATACCTTCCACCTTCAGCTTCTAAATCGAACAGAAAAATTCTTAAAAGAAAAACAAAAACTAAAAAGAATTATGGAACAAATAGAGGCAATTTCAGGATTCGAATGGAACTCCATGAGTGGAATTTGTTCCGATGAGGCTGAGTTCATGGCCCAATTGCTCGGTAATTCTTCAATCCCAAATGAGTTACCGAGCAATTCTGTTTTTCCTACATTTTGGCCAGACGAGACAAATGCAAGCATATATTCTTTCTCACAGGAAAATGGCGGCATCTTTTTCCCGTTTTCGTCGAGTCATGAAGGGTATCATAATGATGTGTCTCGTCAAGAGTTTATGAGTATGGATTTCTGTAAGGAAAATATCGACTTCTTGAATCTTGATGATGTCAGCAATGACAGTACAGAGTCAAATGAGAATGTTTCAGAAAGTGTTGTTCGTGGGAATAATTTGCAGCTTGGAGAGGATCTTACGATCCAAAATATGGCAGAACTGCCGAGGGGAAATAGTACTATAGGGACGAAGAAAAGATCCCGAGCCTCTCCAGAAGTAAGTAAAAATATAATCTTTATCCATCCCATCAATCATATCTTTCTTTCTAATTTGGTTTTTTGGGGTGAAAGTGAAAGTGACCCGAGTACCGCAAAATGAAAAAGTTTACATCTTTCAAAGTTAAAAGTAAAAGGGTGGATGCTGTAAAGGGTTACCCCAAATTCTGAAAAAAAAGAAAAAAAAAAAATCGGGTTTTTTTCTTGTTTATTTGTTTCTTATTGTCATTTTTGTGTAAAATTAAATTTCAGTTCCAGAAGAACAAGAGAAGCATGAAACTCAAGAAGTGTGATGATGATAATGTTGAGGGTCACGATAACAACAACAATATGAAGATGATTCATGGGCAGAGCTCGAGCAGCTGCTGTTCGGAAGATGATTCTATGGGGTCAAAGGGAAGTGGGCCCCACAACTCAAACGGCAAAACACGTGCCAGCAGGGGCTCGGCAACTGATCCCCAGAGCCTCTATGCAAGGGTAATTTTCTTTTAGAATTGACAAATAATAATAATAAAAAAAAAAGGTCTATCCTTCCATGTCTTGTGAGTACTAAACATTTCTTTTTTCTTGCAATGTTGCAGAAGAGAAGAGAGAGAATAAACGAGAGATTGAGAATCTTGCAGAACCTTGTCCCTAATGGAACTAAGGTAACGTAGTAGTTTATAAA